CAGCCTCAGGGCTATCCCCTGGGCTGCCTGCGCCATCCTGCCTACTGCCCAGAGCAGAGGCGCTGGACCCTGTCCCGGCCTCCCTTTCTAGCACTACCGGAGAGGCAATTTGGGTGGGATGTGCCAGGGACATCTACAGACACACACACACAGTATGTTGGGGAAGAGGTTCCCCGGTACCCGCACACCCACGCTCTCAGCCCAGCTCTCCTTTTCCTCCTCTGCAGCTACACTCGGGACAGCAGCATCCCCACCCCGAGCAGGTAATTGGTCCTCCCGCTGGGGCTGGATATCCCCGGGGCCAGGCTGTGCCCCACAGCTGGATGGAAGGGGCTCCTTGCTGGGGTGTGAAACTCCCAGGAGGAGGCACTGGGCTGGGGTTGGGGAGGATTTTAATTTACTCAACAGAGTGGAAGCTTCCCCATCACTCACCCCTGGTGCTCTGCACCCCCTGCTGCCTTGTATGATGGGAGTCAGGAGTGGTGCTGCCCCCACCTCTCCCAGGCCTGGTGCTGCCCCTTCTTGCCCATGCAGATCCCACCCGGGGCCGTTTGACCAGCAGCGGGAGAGTCTCAGTGCCCGTCATCATCTGCATCATCCTGGGGGCCCTTCTCTGCCTGCTCCCGGGCCTCCTGGCCGGGCAAAGTGCTACGTGCCAGGGCTGGGCACAGAGGTGGGTCCTTCCACAGCGGTCCCAGGGGGAGAAGCCTGCTGGAAGGGCTGTGGGGTGCTGCGGGCTGTCAGGCACAGGCAGAGCTGGGGGGATGAGACTGTGTGCTGCCATCTGTCTCATGCACCACCCCATTGACTGCCTGGCTGTGGGGCACAAGCAGCAAGGGGTGGAGAGAGTCCAGAGGCGGGGGGAGCTAGTGATGGGGTGAGAAGGGAAATGGCAGAGTGGGGATGGCCAAGGCTGGCAGTGCTCTGGGTAGTGCTGGAGGGGGCTCTGGGGCAAGGGAGATAGCAGGAGGAGCATGAGGCAGTAGGGTCCATCTCCGTGGTGTCAGGCCCCCAGGCTGTCCCTCTGCCCAGCCCTGCCCACCACCCGGCAGGACAGGGGCCCTGCTATAGACCCATGGGGCAGCTCCAGGTGGAGAGGAAACATGGGAGCTGCTCCAGGATCAGACAAGAGAGGCATGACCCAGGGGCCAGAGGGGCATGAGCGCTGTCTCCGAAAGAATGATGCAAGGGTGACGCTGCCCCAGATAATCTCCACAGCAATGTTGCCCTCACTGGGGATGTGCCTGGACAGCACAGTTGGGCTGTGCTGTCGGACCAGTCCTGGGCTGGCCAAAGGAACAGATTTGGGGGAGCACAGTGGGGTCCCATCCCCCTCTGCATTTCCCTGTGCCAGCCCTGTCTCTGTCCACAGGCTCCAGGAGAGCTCAGGAGCTCTTCCCCGAGGCTGTGTATGAGGAGATCGGTTACAGCCCAGCGTGGGAGAAGCAGGAAAAGTTTGGTCGCTCAGGTGGGTGTGGGTCCTCCCTGAGCAGGAGGCACATCTGCAGGACCCTTTCCCCTGGCCCCAACCCAGGGCTGATCCCCTGAAGCCCCCCAGGCTATGGCTCCTGCAGTGCTGGGGCGCCATGTGGTCTGTGGGGAGAGCATCCAGGTCCTGGGCCCGGGAGAGGAGCTTCCCCCCAACCAGCTGGACAGCCCCTCTCTTCCTGCACCCAACGTGACACCCGAGGAGTGAGGGAAGGGGCTGTCCTAGGGCAGCTCTGGGAGCAGCTTTGAGACAGTGTTTGTCCCAGGGGAGCAGGGTAAATTCCCAGCCTTCCTCCCCGTGCAGCCCCAGTTCTGTGGATCCCCCTTCCCCCACAGTGCTGACCATGAGGCAGGTCATTGGGGCTCACTCCATAACACCCGCTGTGCATCTCTCCAGACTCCTGTTCAGAGGAATCCCCGACCCAGCTGCAGCCCTACCCTGGGAACACCGAGGAGGAGGATGGTCTGAGATCAGCACCAGGTAACGGAGGCAGGAAAGGGTTGATCTCCCTGCAGACATGTGATAGACAGAGGTGCCACTGAGTGTCACCGTCAGAGATGGGGAGGACATGGTGTTGCCAACACCAGTGTCTCAGCCCTCTGTCCCTGTTCATCCTCCCATCCTCTGCTCTGCAGGCCCTATCTTCTCACGGTCACCAGCTCCCCTCTCCTTTCAGATGTTCTTGTCCTGCCCAGAGGTGACCCAGCAGATGGCTATGACGATGCCAGGGAGGTTTCTGACCCTGGGGATGATGCTGCCCCTGGGCAGGGAGCTTGGGAAATGCCCAGGGCACCAGAGGAGGGAGCAGGGCCCAAGGATGCACTGGTGAGCGCTGCTGGTTCCTGGGGTGCCATCCCTGGTGCCACCAAGTCTCTACCGTACTGACACCCAAACCTCCTGGGAAGGGGGAACCTGACCCAGGAGTTTTTTCCTTGGAGGGACTGGGCGTGGGAGAAGGAGCTGAATGTGGTGAGGAGCAGGGAGAAAGGTGATGTACAGACCCCATGGGACCAACTGCAATGTCCTGCCTTGCTGCTTGCAGGGGGTAGCCTATGCTCCCGGAGAAGTGACGGGGTCCCTGCAGCTGAAGGAGACACCTCATCCCTGACCCTGGGGAGCATGGGCTATGATGATGCTGAAGAGGTGTCTCTGGCACATCCCCGTGAGGACACAAAGGCTGTGACACCAGAGCTTGGTATGCAACAGTCCCTGAGTCCCAGGCCAGGAGAGCCCATCTCTGCTGTGCAGCTGGGTGCAGCCAGGAGGGAGGAGAGGTCTGTGCAGCTGGGAGAGCTGTGAGCTGTGAAACATCTCCCTTTACCATAGGCAGCAGAAACCACCTGGAGTTTCCTCTATCTTTATTCCCATTTTTACACTGTGCATCCATATTTGTTCTTATGAAAATTCTGTGAGGGTTTTGACCCAGAGCTGGTGCTTGCGGGCCCAGGTGTTGGGTTGTCTCCCTGAGTCTGATCAGGGGGAGCAAAGACCAAAGACACTGTGGTAGGGAAGGGGCACGTCTCAGGGACAGCAGGCTTGGGGTCAGGCTGTGGGGCTGCGAGAGCCCATGGTCCCTGGGGAATAATCCTGCTGACAGAGGCATTTCCATCCTGCTGGCCACAGCCAGTTTCTAGTCAAAATGTCTCTCTAATAGGTCCCGTGACGCACCCCAGCAGGAGCACCCGTTTCCTCACCCTTGGGTTTCCAGCTGCTCTTTCCCCCAGGCCCTGCCCGGGCCATGCTGGGCCCACAGTGCAGAGGCCATAACAGAGCTGCCGTGTCAGGGTAAGCCCTGGGCTGTGGCCCCACAGAAGTGAGCCCTAAGGTGGCTGCAGTGCCCTGAACACCCCAGCCAGCCCCAGGGGACATCATGGCCCATGGATTACAATGGTTAAGAGGCAGCTCTGCTCCCCACTGCCCCAGCACAGGGTGCGGAGCCACTTTCTGGGACACGTGGGGCTGGGATTCCCTCTCCTCATGCTCTGCCAGTGCCCCAGTTTCCATGAGCTGTTCCTGCTGTCTTTGGCCCTCGCAGACCCCGAGCGCTCTTGTCACAGTCACAAAGCTGCCTTCTTTCTGAGCAGGGGCTGTAAGGCCCCACAGCAGCCCTGAGACTCCCTTCCCCTGCTCCCCTCCAGCCCCCACCCTTGTCCTCCTGCTGCCTCGCCCGAGGTGTCAGTTCGGGTTTGTGTCGGGGCAGTACTTGTGTGCAGGTACAGAAGGGATGGGAGCAGGGGGCTTGGGGGCACCTTTCCCTCAGCACTGTTGGAGGGCCAGGGGGATGGAGAAAGGATCCCCACGAGACGTGTGCGGCAGCCAAAAGCCATGGTCTAGCCCCTGGCCTGGAGAAGGGCCCATCCAGGAGGATGCTCATGTGGGAACGTTTCCATGGCAGAGGAGATTTTGTGTCCCTCCCCTAAAACAGGCGCTGCTGGGAGCTGAGCAAGGTTCCTCTCCCTTGGCCAGGGCTTTCACCAGCCCCAGTGCCCATGGGCAGAAAACCCTCTTACACAGAAGCGAGGCAGGGAGAAGGCTTTGACACTTGGGCAGGACCTGGAGCCCAAACTGCCCTTCCTGCTCCTGCTGGTGGGTCTGCACACCCTCCGGCTCCTCCCTGAAAGGCTCCTCTGCTGCAGGCTGGAAGGTGTGTTGGCTCCCTGTGGGGAGTTGCTGCAGCTCAGTACTGCTGCAAACAGCAGGATCTGGCCCTAGAGGAGGAGAGGGGAGGCGGCAGCTGTTGCCAACATCCTCTCCCACTTCATCATCGTCCGGTTCCCTGTTGGGAGCTACTCCACCCCTGGGGTGACCCTGGGGGGAACTGGAGGAAGCCCAGGCTCCCACATTCCTCTGCTCCATACCCTGGAGCCTTTTTGCTGGCAGCCCCTATGGGAGAGCAGCATTCCCAGGGTGAGACTCCCACGGTGATGGGTGACATACATGGGCATTACAAACACAGCCTACTTCCCCTGGAAAACTCCCACTAGGATAAGCTCCAGCCCTGCATCTCAGAGAAATATGGTATAAAAGTGAAGTAAAGAGGAACAGGGGAGTGTTATCTTCTGAACACAGGATGGTGGGGGCCTATGGGCAGTATGGACATTGACCTGCAGACTCAAGGTGCCCCAAGTGGGGACTGGGGAGAAGAGCCCAGTGCCTGTCCTGTGCCACCTCTCCACCAGCTCTGCCCTCCCACAGGTGTAATATTTCTCCCTCACTCTGGCACCTGGTAAAGGTTTGCCTCCTATTCCTCGTGGAGATAAGCCACAGGCCTGGGTGTGCTTGTGGGGCAGCACACCTGAGCAGAAAGAGCCCGTTTCATGGCATTTTGGGACCTGAACAGTCTGGCCCTGCAGGCTGGGTCCATTCTCTGCAGCAAAGCAGGATTGTCACTGTGCCCCAGACCTGTGGTTTCTCCTGCAGCTCCTGAGGGGGGAACTGAGGGCGGTCACAGAGAGACCAACTCTCAGCACGGCTGCCCCACGCCAGGCAGAGCACAGCTGGGAGAGCAGCCTTATTTCTCTTAGTTTGGGCTCACCATTCCCAGGTGCTGGGCACCCTGCAGTGAAAGGTGTCTCACACCCCATTTTTGTTGCGGGTGTTTTTGCCAGGGGAGCAGCCGAGGCACCATCTGGCCCTCCCCGCCTGTGCACAGCTGTGGACAGGCCTGTGCCTCCCTGATCCCACTGGCACAGCGTCGACAGAGACACCAAACACCCCAGGAACAAGAGGTGGGCACCGGCCCCACCTCTGCAGCGCTGTGCCTGACCTCAGCAGTTCCAGGTTCCCTGAGCTGAGGCTCTGCTCAAGCCAGCGGTGATGGTGGAAGAAGGACCTGGAGACAGGGTCAGGGTGAGAAATGTCATTCCTCCAGCTGGGAGTCCCACAGTCCTGCCCAGGCTTGTCCAACTCAGACACCCCTACCTGCTGGCACAGAGGGGTGCTTCCCATGTGGTACGGGATCTCCACCTGGAGACAATCTCAGACCCTTACCCCTGGAAAGCCACCAGGGCAGTGTGGCCCTGGTCCCAAAGGACACCTGGGCTGGACCAGCACCCTCACACCACATCTCTCAGTGCAGCCAGAAATGATTGTAGTGTGCTGCTGACATCTATCCCCTCCCTGGGGTCTCCCCACAAGCACACTCTGCTGCTAAGCGTTGTCCCTGGGCAGTGGGTGGGGTGGGTCTGTGGCGCAGGGCAGTAACCGGAGCTCGCCTCCAGCACAGCTGCCTGCTTCTCCTCCAAGAGGGGACTCAGCAGAGGCAGTGCACACAGCCCTCCCACAGCTCTCCTCACCTCACAGCCAAGCCCCGAGTGGGCAGGGCAGGCCCACAGGGCCTGGAGAGGACCAGCGCCCAGCTCCAGCCCACTCCTGCCTGAGGCTGGGGAGTCAGGGCAAAAGCACCCCTGGAGATGCTGGGGATTGAACCCAGGACCTTCCACGTGCGAAGCAGGCGCTCTGCCACTGAGCTACATCCCCTTGACACCTGCCAGCAGGAGAGACACTCTCCTCCCGTGATGTGTCTATGACAAGCACAGCCTTGTTGTCCCCTGCGTGCCCAGGGACCCTCTGCAGAAAACAGCACTTGAATCCTTCTGAGATGGCGGAAGTTGGGACTGCATCTCTGCTGGGGTCTGATCCTGGCACAGGGCTGCACTGCAGAGCGCTGCCCCTTCAACGTCTCTGCAGGGCAATGGGTCAGGAGAAGGCTCTTGCTGCGGGTGCTGCTCCCACGCTCTGGCCCACTCCAGGATGGGTCAATGAAGAGGAGAAAACCCCTTCCCCTGAGCTTCCGCTGCCACCCAGAGCAACACCCCTCTGTGCCACATCTGCCCCTAACTCCACAGCAGAAGCAGTGCAACAGGGTGAGGGAAATGCCCTCCCTGGATTGACGTGCCCCCAGGCTCCGATGGCAACCCAGGGCATGGCATGGAAGGGACATGGAGGCAGAAATCTTATACACCCTCCTCCAGGCACCGGGCCTCCCCCTGCACCCCTCCATTCCCCAGCCTCCCTGCAGGTGAGTTGAACGACAGGCTTCCATCTCCATGGGGCTGGGGATGTGGGTTGGGCTCAGGGACCTTCCCGTTCCTTCAGCACTGATGACTGTCCTGACAGCAAAGCAGTGCCCTGGACAGCCCTGGCTGGGGGTCTCTGTGGCAGGGTGGGTGAGCATGTGCAGCTGTTAACTCAAAGGTTGATGGTTTGACCACTGTAGTGGTTTAACCCAGCAGGGAGCCAAACACCACACAGCTGCTCACTCACTCCTCCCCCTGCAGTGGGACGGGGGGAAGAATCAGAAAAAAAGTAAAATTTGTGGATTAAGATAACAACAGTTTAATAGAACAGAAAAAGAACAGAAAATAATGATGATACCAATAATAATAATAATAATGATAGAATATACAAAATAAGAGATGCACAATGCAATTGCTCACCACCCGCCAAGCAATGCCCAAACAGTGACCGCTACCTCCTGGACCATGCCACTTATTTATACACCGAGCATGACATCACATGGTATGGAATACCCCATTGGCCAGCTGGGCCAGTTGTCCTGGCTATGCTCCCTCCCAGACTTCTGTGCACTTGGCAGAGCATGGGAAGCTGAAAAGTCCTTGACTAGCAGGGTACTTAGCAACAACTAAAAACATCAGTGTGTTATCAACATTCTTCTCATACTAAATCCAAAACACAGCACTAGGAAGAAATTTAACTCTATCCCAGCTGAAACCAGGACAACCACACACAGGGATGGTGTCCTCATGGTGGTACAGCTGGAGCAATGGTGTTGCCCAATGCCATAGATTTTTCCCTGCTGAGCC